AAAACATTTTTCATGCTGCCAGTAGAGTTTAAGTAATCTGGCTGTCACTACTCGGGGTGAGGTGCCCTGTGGGGGGTAGGCAAGGGCATGGCCCTCACCTGCTGAGAACATAGTCTTATTGACCTGGTGTGATCCACTCAAAGGCTGTCCTCACCTTTCATGAGGAAAGACACTCAAGTGACCAGCCAAATGTTACATAGAGGGCAACGGAGCCACATGGGTTATAGATTTGGGAAGGTAAGCACCCAATTTGGATTGTCTGATTTTTGCCATCCTGTGGTAAAGGCAGACTTCTTGGAGTTGGCTTCACATTGTTGTCAGTCCCTTGACTCAGGTGGGGGAACACTTTAACCTACCTCTTGGATGCCAAGGTCATGATATGCCCTTTAGAACTTAAGATGGTGCAGCCAATACCAGGGCTGTTTTTCCCTTTTCTTTACTCTCCCAGGCCAGAGTTGTGGTCGGCAAGAATGTTAGGAACCTCTTAAGAGTTTATTACAGAGTGAAGGCTCACAGGAGGAGTTTTAAATGAGGCAGCAATGGCTGGTCTAATATCTTACATCAGTGGACTCTTTCCCTCCCCCAGAACCATTTCCTGTGTAAAGCCAAGATTCTTGGCTGAGATTCTTACCAGGCAAAGGGAAAACTGCTTCCCAAGAGGACCATGTCTAACATGGAGTGGCTTGTCTATCATATTTGCAGAATTCTTTTTCTTAGTACAGATTTCTGAGGGAGCTTGGAAAGGAGGAAGAAGTCTTAGTCTTGGAGAGGCCGTGTGAGGTAGCACGGGCTCTCTGGAGTCTCACTGACTGGGGTTCGAGTGCCAGGGTGCCTTAGACCAACCCTGTTTCATGTCTGGACCCTGTGCAGCAGGGATAGGCATCACGGGATTGTTAGGAGGACTGGACGTGATAATGTATGGAGAGCACTCGGGGTATGGCATAACTATTCCTGCATATAGCTCACTTAACTTTTCTAAGATTGTTTCTTCTTCAAGAGTGAAGAAGATGCCCTGTGACTTTTAGGGTAGTTGAGAGGATCAAATGAGATAAGTATGCAATTATGCTATACCAAGATTTGATTGAGATTTAATTAGAAAAGCCCTTCACAAGGATCTTGGTAATCCATTCCAGAGTTTAGCATTAATACATTTATCTTTATGTTGAACTAGAATTTTTCCTTCTTTATTATTGTCCTTTTCAGCTCACTTGGCCTTCTAAGAACCCAAAGAAGTTCATTTGTTTCATGAAAATCTTCATGCACTGAAAGATATATTCCACTCACCCCTAGCCTTTAGGTTTTAAAAAAAATAATCTTGATTATTACTGCAATTTTCTCATCTGTAATTCTTTGTTATTTTAGTCTAAACTCTAACTTTTCCATTGCTTCTGGTGGTCAAAATAAGAAATGATCTTTGAGAATTTCTTGGACTAAAATATAGGGGAAAGTTTACTTTCTATCCTCGATTCCGCATTAAAATATCTATATCTTTTATTAGAAAAGCAACGTCTCTTTATATACATTTTGGAGAAGAGGGAAGGAAAATTGCCTGCAGTTGTGTGAGTACAATTAATAGTTTTATGACTGCACATCTGGTCATTTTTATATACATGTTTTCTGTGTCTTTGTAGCTTATCTGTCTTTACCCGTATCTTACATAATCGTAATCACATACAAATAGGAATGTTACAATGTTATTTATATTGCTGCTTGTCTTTAGCACCTAACTCCTAGAATTGTAACGATTTGATGCTTTAAGTGCTTAGCACAGTGTCTGGCATAAAGTTAGTGTCAATAGGTGGGAGCTAGTTATTCTATGACATTTACTGATCGGTGCCCAGAAGTGGATTTACTGGGTCAGGTACCTTTTAGGCTCTTGATACATGGCACCTGCCACATTGCTTTCTAGAAGCCATTTCAGTTCCTCAAGCCCTTGGCAGTAAAGAGTTTCTCCGCTCCTCTTTAGCACTTGGAGCTCCCCCCAGCACCTCTCCATTTTGTTTTTAGGTTTGGGAAGCTAATTTAGTAGGTGCAGATAATGCCTCATTATTGAAGTGTCATTATTTCATAACTACCGATGTTGAACTTGTCTTACACTTAACTAGCAATGTTTCCTCTTGTAGGGGCTCTCTATGACCTACTTAACAACCGGAATCACTGAATGTTTAATGTTTTCTTATGGAATTACACAGGCTCTTTAATAAAGATATTAATCCTTTGTCATATGGACAGCAAATATTTTTCCTGTTTTCTTCCTATTTTGGTTGCGATTTTTTTTTTAGTTCACACGTGCACACACGCGCGCACACACATACACACGATGTGATCCATCTCCTCTGTGCCCGACCCTCGCCAGGTCTGATGGTAGTAGCTTGAGTGCAACAAGAGAGACTCCTCCCACAGTTACACGGGCTCCTGATAAGAGTGGTCACACATGTCTTTCATGGTGAAAGTACACAGACTCTTCACAGGCCCGGAGAACACCTTTCCCTTGATTTGGGGAAAGAGGGTAGAGAAGGAAGGAGCTAACAAAACTATTGCTTGGTTTTTATAACAGGCGATAATTTCAGCTCGTCGTGATCAGAATCTTCTACACATTCTCCATCCTTTCCTCTAGGACTGGTGTTTCTGAAGATACCATTGCAGATATTTATTTGGCAAATGTCTGCTCAACCATCATAGGCTTCCACGGAGTCCTCTGAAGAACTCCCACTCCCACCTATCTTGATACCTTCTTCACGTGTTTTCTTGCAAGAAGAGGCTAGGTCTTAGTGAGACTTGGGGACTGAGGGCGTGGGGCTCTTCACATGGATGAAATGCTGGTGAATCTCCCTTTTCCTACTACCCTGTTAAATTTAAACTTCTTTCCCTGAAAGAGCGTGAGCACTCCTATCTGGCACCCAGGGAAGCCCTGTGTGGATGCCCTTAGTAGAGCAGAGTTGGTCTGTATGTGCCCTTGCTAAGAGTCTTGTCCTTTCTCATCACCAAGGTCTGCACTACAGTCTCTAATAGAGCCCAGACGGCTGATGTGTGAAAGAAGGAGCAGGCCTCCATGGGGTTTCTCATCACTGTGGCCAAGATGGTGGCACACAAAGGCATTCCACTGGCTTCTGAGTCTAGATCTATAAATATATTTATTATAATATAACAAGAACTTAACAATAAACATAGACTATGTACAATACCATTACAGAGAACCCTGTTTTATATCATTCACAGAAATAGCCAGTTTTGCTCCAGTGTGATAAATGAGGAGAGAAACGGAATTTCAATGTCATCTGTGTCGAGTCTTGCTGACCACTAACACCTCCTTTGGAGGCAGATGCACACCAACGCTAACATTAGCCCTGCCCCAGGCAGTTAGAAATTTGTGCTCCAGTCCTTGGGTTCACACTTGCACCCTGTTTGACATAAATACTTTAAATGACATACAATGTATGTAGTTTTGTGCTTATTACTTTTTAAAAGAATAAATAATATTAAAAACTGCATAACGAAGCTCGGTATCTTGTCCAAGTGGGAGCCACACGTGTAGTGCTAGAAGTCGATGCCCGACATTGGAATTGGGATTTGGTGTCCTCAAATACCGAAAGCTCCTGTCCTTTCCTCCTTGGAAATGGTTTTTATCATGAAATGAGGGCAAATTGACTTCCCGGATAGAAAAATGGTAAATGCGTATTTGGTACCAACTTCAACTAAACGGCGCAGTGGTGGTGGCTCTCTTCTTGCCCTGGGATGGAAACTGATCACCGCGTGAGGTCTGAGGGTCTGAGGACCGGCAGGAAGGCCTTTCCGTCATGAGCCACGGTGTGACCTCCCTCCTGGCTTCCCTTCCTCTGGTTCGTCTGCCACAGGAAGAGTGATTCTGCTCATGCCCCTCAGGCCTTGGCTGTCATGGCTCGTCTACGAAGGCTGTCCCCATCCTGAGAGCTCTTGTAGCAGGTGCCTTAATATATAGCTATAAATATCAAAAATAGTCTCCTGTGCTTTGTAGACATTTATCCTCCCTCCCTCCCTCCTTCCCTTCCCACCCGGCCTGGGTCCTCAGCTTTACCTCATGGAGGGAGCTGGACTGGTGTCATGAGCCGGGACTGGTTTCCTTCTAGAACAGAATCTTCTTTGACAACGCCTCCAGGAGGCACAGCTCTTGATGGGGCTGTCTGGGAGTTACATTTTTTTAAAAATAAAACAGGGGCCCTCACCCCCACCCAGGAGAGATCCTCTATTCTGCACATAGAAAAAATTAGAGCGAATGCCCCACTCTGGCACAACCTACAAAGAGCTTTGGGAATTCCCGCATGATCCTCTCATGGCCTCCTCTCAGTACTTAAAAATAGCCTTTTTGTTTATCAAGAAAATGCCTTGGAAATCTAAATAATTCATATCGGACAAGAGAAAGCTAGCACAGTCACCTGTCCTTCTCCAGCAAAAACACGGTAGAAAAACCTGTGAGGGACAAAGGTTCTCCCAGCCGTCCCCAGGCTGCCCCTGCACGGCCGCTCCAGCCACGTTGGGCTCGGCACCAGTGGCCGGACCTCTCTTCCGCCCGGCGGGGACCAGGAGCCTCCCAGGCCTTGTGCCACACACAGTATTGTCCCTTCTCTTCTCTCAGCCACGGACAAGTGTAGATTGGTTAAAAACAAAAGTAGGAATCAAAGTGATAAGGACACTTTGATCTTATTCCAAAGAGAGCCTGACACCTAATATTGTCATAGGATAACTGATCTATGGTTGGTTAGGGATCAAGCTTGCTCTGCAGGAAGGAAAAATCAGCTTCTCTCTCCCAGTTGAAAAATATGTGAAACTCTATTGCACCGGGCAGAGCGAGCGCCTCCGTTCAGAGCAAGTGCCTTTGCAGGAGCCCCCAGGCCCGGCTGCTTGCATGGTTGTGGTTCCTGCTGCGTGGAGCGCTACGCCCCCGTTTCCCCCAAAGGCGAGGATGATTTTCTACATTCAATGTAGAGAGTATTCAAAATGTTTAGCGCAGTGATTCCCTTGTTTGTGTCTATCAGCCTCCTGCGGGTGTTGCTGAACATTGATCACTGTGAGTGGCATCTGCCTCACCAGACTTGTCCAGTCTCATCGTGGGCTTTCTGCCGACGTCAGCCGCTTTGAATATATTTCTTTATCACGACGCAGCCGTGTCTGAACACGGGGCAGGGCATGTGGGGTAGGAGGGTCCACGTGTTGGTCGCGGGCTCGTAGGCTTCCATATTGCCCAGGGCAGGCCCCTCACTGCTGACAATGCCCCCAGTGGCATAAATCTTGCCGTCAAGTACCACGGCGCTGTCAGGGAAAGCGGGGAGAGAGTTAGCCATTTCACTTCCACCTCTGACCTGGAGGAGGACTCAGTGCCACGGCCTGGTACAGGCTGCCTCTCCCCCTTTGCCAAAGGTCTGAGGGATCTCGCTGCTTGCCTCTGTCCTGTGACCTGAGGCGGTACAAGAAGAAAACCTTCCCTCTAGGGCTGGTTGGGGTGCCCTGCGTCTACCGCCCTCTGAGCCGTGGGGGACATCCCGGGCCCTGCCAGACCACCGAAAGGTGGTGGGGAGAACAACCTCGCGTACGGGGCCCTCGAATCCGTTCACTGAGCATCGTTCTGTGTTGCCCAGAGGCTTCATACGGCTCCAATCAAGTAGAGAACACGACCCACAGGGCTGATGGCAGACAGGATAATAAGGAGCCAAGTCATAACCCAACCCTGACTCCCTGACCGGGAAATTCACCCTGGCCAAGGCGCTCAGACTCCCGGCTCCCCGCTCTGATTGCTGAGCACCAGGGGCCTGCTTCTGCCCACCGGTGACGGCCCGGCCCGGCGTCCTCTCTGCGGGGTGGTGCCCGGGACAGCCTGGGACGCCTTCCCGTTGCATGCCAGACTGTCGTCTCAGTGAGCTGTTCCCACGGCCAGAGCACCACAGCCTGCCCCTGTCTGCACTTCCCGTCCTCCCGCGGCTCAGCTCCCCCGTCCCACGTGCACCTGCATCCACCCATCCAGCCCCCGTTTCTGCCCCATGTCAGCTAATGGCCCTGTCTTCTTGACTGTTCCCTGACACTGAACAGGTGCCCTTGCAAAGTCGCCGCCTCTTTCTGAAAGTCTGAGCCTGGAATGGAACGTGCCGGTCCAGACATCTTACCTGAGCTTTCCAGCCTTAGCCCCAGTAGTTGCCTGCCACCTGGGGCCCTCCAATTTCTCCCTTGGTGGCACATCTTTCCCCTGCTTCTCTTGCAAGGCCCAGCTTACATCTCCTCATGGGCACGAAGTCTTTCTGGGCCCACTCTGAGTCTCTGATGAGGCACGCAAGTCCTCCCCACAAGTGGTGCTCAACCTCCAGGTGTGCTTATGGTGGACAGTGTAGTCAGAACGGCTTGCACACCGCCACCATTTGGAGTATGTGACGGGCGGGTAAGGCCCAGGAACTGGGCCTTATCTAGTCCAACCGCCCGCTTCACCAATAGGACGACTGCCCCAGAGAGCACAAGTTGCTCGTCCGAGGTCCTAAGATAGGCTGGTAGTAGGTTACAGCTTTTCTAGCTCTGCTACCCCGACTGCGGGTGCCGGGGCTGGGGTTCCGTGATTACCTCCGCGTGGGCGCGAGATGTCTTCAAGAACCATCTGCTATGCGAACGTTGAAAATGGGGTTTCTGGGACTCCTTTTTATATTTCCTTGTTCCTCCTAGTCTGGGAAGGGATGGGGCTAGAAGAGCAGGGTCTGCTGTCTCACTGCCCAAGGTGGTTAATTTTTCGGGGCCGTGGGGCTGGGTAGACTGGGAACCAAGCCACCCCCTGACCTCTACCTCTCTCTTCCTGTGGGGGCTGGTCCGTGTGTGTGTCTGCCCCGTCAGCTTTGAGACTCCAAGGCAGCTGTGCCTCGTACCGCTCCCCGGATCTGGTGGTCAGAGCATCCCTTGGAAAGCCACCTGTCCCGTGTAGGGTACTGCACAGGTGCGGCCTTGGGGACAGCTGTCCTCACAGCAGCACCTTCACCTAACCCCGGAGGTGTGGCCTCGAACGACCTGGGGCTGGTGCCGGTGCGAAGCCCTCCATTTCTGGCTTGGAGATGGGTCATTTGGAGCCCCCCGGTGGGGCTTGTGGGCCGAGGGCTGCCCCCGGGCTCTTCCCAGTCTGCCCTGGCCCTCATAGCCACGCCTGCGGCCGGTGGGCGCTGCGCCTGGGCATTGCTCTGGTCACCCAATGGCGGGTGGCCACTGTTGTGCTCACACCTGTCCTGCAGCCTTTCCCTCCCTGCCCGCCCCCTTCCCACCCCAGCCGAGTTCCTGCGGCCCTCACCTGCAGAACTGGCGAGAGTGATTCATGTTTGGGCCTGCCTTAATGTTCCCTTTCTCAGGGTCGTAGATGGTGGTGGCTCTGGCATACGCCCCGCCCAGGATGAAAACGAAGCCATTGAGGGTGACGGCGGGAGCGTACTTGTTGTCTGTGAGGAGAGCAGGGCAGGCAGGTCAGGGCATCTCTTCCCGGCCTCCCCCCTCCCCCCCCCTTTCCTTTGCCAGTAGGCCCTCCAGCGGACGGGCTCTGGCAGGACCGCCAATGTCAGTGGCTAACCCGAGGACAAGGCCCGGGGCCAGGAGGCACCTGGTGCGCGGACTAGCTTGCCCTTTGTCCCGGTAGTGGGGTCTGCAGCTCTGCCCGGCCTGGGGGCTTGCCGCTCCCTCCCAGCCGCCGGACGTGGGTCTGCAGAACTGGGCTTAGCTGGCCCTCTGGGCTTGGGATGTTGAGACAAAGCTAATACTGAGGTGGGGATGCTGCACGGGCCCCAGGCTGAGCAGAGAGCTGGCTCTCACCAATCATCGGCGACTCGATAAAGCTCCATGTGTTGGTCTGTGGAACGTAAGACTGTAGGACCCCTGCAGCCCTGCCGGCCTCGTTCACACCACCAAACACGTAGATCTTGCCGCCACACACCGTAGCTGCTGCAGAGTGCACTGCCTTGGGCAGAGGGGCCACAGCCTCCCACTGGTTGGTAATGGTGTCGTACCTGTCGAGAGAGGAGAAAAAGAACTCAGCATCAGTGGTGGGCTTTGTGTGGGGCAGGGCTGACAACCAAGGCAGCGGACATTGGGGGGCACCAACATCTGCTTCCTGCCCTTGGCATCACTGGCATAGCCCAAGATCACACACAGCTGGGGGCACTCGGGTTGAGTCACTAAAGGCCCCCTAGGATCTGGCCCAACCTGGCCCTCTCAGCCTTCCTCCTGAACCTCCGTGGGCTTTTTTTGCCCGTCGCAACCCCTGTGCAGATTCTTGTCTCCATTCCTTTGCTCACATAGGGCTCCCCAGCTTCTAGGCCCCTTCATCCTTCTCTATCCAGCTCATTTCTACCCTTTTGCCCAACAGTGCTGCACTGAGCATCTCCTGTACACCCAGGCTCTGGGCTGGAAACTGGGGAAACAGCAGGTTGGACCAGGGAAGGACAAGAGGAGGTGGGACCAGAAGGAGAGGTGAACTGATGGGGTTCAATCCTTAATTGATGTTGCCATTAAGGAAGGCAGAGTTACCTAGGATGACTCAGGGTCTCAGGCGTGGGGCATCGGAAGGAGGGGGCACTACTCAGGGGACAGGAATTGAGGCTGGGGAGTTTGGAGGAGAGAGATGATTTCAGTTTTATTCATGGGGAGTTTAAAGGACCTGTGGGTAACCAACTGGGGATGTGCGGGGCGCAGCTGATGTGCAGCCTATACATTCCGCTTCAGGATCACTGGCAACGCGATGGAAACAGAAGGTAAGGGAGTTCACAGGCAGTGGGTGGGTGAGACTAAGGGGGAAATGCCGGCCTTTAAGAGGGGAGCTGAGGGGGCCCTTGGAGGAGTGGCGGCGCTACAGAGGGCACAGCTCCATGGGTGGGGGATGCGCTGGGAAGTCAAGAAGTCCCAAACAGGTTCCTGGCGGTCTTGTCAAGGGCACTTTAAGTGGAATGGAATGTGCAGCGCTATATGTGTATCAAGGAGTGAACGGGAAGGAAGGCGGTGGGCATGACAGCTAGAGACTTGACTTGGATGAAACTAAGCTGGGAAAAGGGGCAGAGAAGGTAGAACCTAGAAAGGCATTTGGAGCTAAGAGATGGCTTTCATTGGTGGCATGCTGATAAATGTTTAAAAACAAGCTCCCCAGGGAAAAAGTCCAGCTATGTAGCACTTGCTGATTTCTGTGATGTGACTCCTCTCGGCTGATTTCAAGCTACCAATGGCACATGGCTGAACGTGGCACTAGGAGGAGATGTGCGGCGGCACACCGCTGGACAGAACCCCCACCACACACCGACACAGCGGACACACCTAACCTCCAGAGCACGGACGGTACAGAATATGGTAAAAAAAAAAAAATAGTGATGTGTATTGAGTATGGATTACCTTTGTTTATAATGTAATTTATTTAGTTCTAAGTTTATACACTTTAATTTTTAATAATACCAGTAACTAACAACTGGCTTGCAGAGTTACTAAAAAAGGTAATAGCTCTCAGGAGCCAGTATGAACGAGCTCCAGTACACCGTGGGTTTTGTTTTAATTTTAGGGGGAAAGGTTTACTTGTGTTTACGGGCTGGTAGGAAGGAGCCCAAATGGGTAAGGGAAGGTTAAATACAGATGAAAGAGAGGGGAAAGCTGATAAAGGGAGGCTCCTGGTGGGGGGATGCAGGTTGGATCCAGAGTGGAGAGGGAAGTGGTGTCCATGCGGGCATGAGAGAGGGAGGCAAGGATGGCGTGAGAGTCAGTCCATACTCAGCGGCGATGGCAGGGAGAGGAGAGACTTCTTGACTGAAGGCGCCACCTGCTCTGTGAAGCAGGAGCCCACGCTGGTGGGATATGGGCATCCGTGGGATAAGAGCCTTGATACGGGAGGAGGAGATGAGAAACACATGCTCTTGAGAGCGGGTGAAACTGCAGACAAGGGCCCTGCAGCACGAAGGATGCAGTAGACGTTGGAGGACTTCAGTCTGTGGTGGGGCCAATCTACGAGACGGTGGGATCTTCTCCACCAGCGTTAAGCCCCCAGGGGTAGGCACGGAGAAGGGGCAGAGTTACAGGATTGAAGAGATCTGTGGCGTATGTATGGCAGGACAAAGTAAGAGCATGGAGAAATGATGGAATGTGAGTACCAGACAAAGCGGGAGAAAAAGTGACAGCAGAAAGCAGCTGGGAGGGACAGACTTGGGATCTAGCAGACTGGCCAAGGAACTGGGAGATCTGACGTCTTCCTGGGCAGCTTGTGGATCTCCGTTCTCAGCGTCTCTGTCACTTGCTCCCGGGGGCTGCTCTTACAAGCACTCACTCTGGACCTCTTACTTGGTGGCCCATCTCCCGCTCACCGCATGGCTCGGTCGCCTGTTCTGGACCCAAGGCGGGGCCTCCACCGTGGGCTGGGTTTTCGCCAGCACACCTTTCCTGGGAAGCACGCAGAGCCCACTCTTCCCCATGAGGCTCCTTGGGGCTCGAGCCATAACAAGGTCATGGCTTAGTGATCCAGAAGATGGCCTCTCTTAGCTGGTGCCCCTGGTTCTGAGACAGGGATGAGGGGGCAGTGGCGAGATGTCCAGCTCTGTGCTTGCAAAGACTCAGGATTTGAGAAGAGGCTGAAGGACCTTACAGGGCAGCAGGGGCTGATTCAATTAAGCCCCGGACGAAGGATATGTGGCTAACAGGCAATGGAGTAAGTGTCTTTTTGGACAGTGTCAGAAGTTCAGATGGCTGTTTTTTAAGCCAATATGGCAGAGATCCAAAGAGCTCCTGTAGAAGGAGCTGGGTGACAGTGGAAGATTATGTGGCTGTTAGTCTTCAGACTTTCGGTATAATGGCACATTCAGCCAAATGCGAATTTCCCGAGAGCTTGTTATTCCAGGTGGCTGATTGCCAAGCCACAAGCCCTCCGTCAGCTCAATCTGTCAGCTTCCTGCTTGAGAAGGATATGCTAATGACATGCAAATGACCCTGTGGAGTGAGGCTCTCTGCTATCATTTATCCGGGAACCACAGCTACTGCAATATATTGCTATGAAGTATTAGACCCAGTTATTTATATAATGATATAATACAGGTTTGTCTACTGCACTGTTGTTTTAATCTATAATTATATAATCTTGCTCTATTCCTGTAATACAGTAATGTAATATAATTATAATGTACCATATATCTCATTCATTATCAATATAAGAGCAATTTGTACCATTAGTGCTTCCTGGGGAACAAAGCACCCTCGCGTCTGTCCCCATTACCCTGACCTTCTTGTCACCCTGAATTCTCATCATTGCCACCATGTGGTGCAGAAATTACTTGCCCAAAGGGGCTGCGGTTATGTTCCTTGGGAAGCGGTGGGCGTCCCCTCCACCCCACCTGTGTGCACGCCACCCAGAGGTCTTCAGGTCTGCGTCCTCTCCCTGCAAGGACAGCCGCCAGATATCAGAGGGCTGAGGAAGGGCTCAGGGCACCTTGCTGTCCTGGACGGCTCCCCCATCTGCTGAGGTTCCCGGGCTGGTCTTGCTCACATGGTGCCCCAGCTGATATTTCTTAGTGGAACAAAGGCCCAGTCCCCCGGGGAAGACCAGAGAGGCTGCTACCAGGCCTTGGAGGAGAGCTCCTGAGCCCAAGGGGAGTGGAGCTTCTCCCCCCTCTTGGTGCATTTGATCCTCGAACAAATCCCTGTATTTATCAACAAGTATAAGTTTGCAAAATGAGTAATCAGCATCTTAGGAGATTAAAAATAGCTGACAAAAGCAAGACAGGATGACAGATCTAGCTCAGTTTACTCCTACATAGAAAACCTCCCCTTTTTCATGTGTTTATTATTGGATGACAAACGGCTGGAAGCTGGTGCTTCTGGAAGCCCTGGGACGTAAGTGCCGTGCAGCGGGCCCCACTGAAGGCTGTCAGCATCAGGGCTGACCCAGGTTCAGCTGCAGTGTTAATATCCTCATAATCACACAGGGATTCCCCATTAACTCCAAATCAATATGACAATTAAATGTCGTTACTGAGCCATCTCTGGGCTCCACTTGGGGGAGTTAAAAGCCCACAGTGAACATCCAGAACTTGTCTCACTCTGAACTATCTTTGCCGTAACATTTGTCAAGTGTCCAATTAGCCACGGAGGGAAAAATACAAATTGAGGGGTACGTGTGGGTCCATAAGCAAAATGCTGTCACATGGGAAGATGTGATTTCTGTGACAGCTGATGACGTGGGCCAAGGGTGGTGGGCAAGCAGGAGGTGAGGACGTGGAGAAAGGGCTCTGGTGATCTGAGCTGCGCCCTCCTGGGTTGGGACTTGGGGCCAGCTCAGCCTAACTTGCCCTCCCTTGGGGGCACTAGTTTCTCCAAAAGCGGGACTGCTCTGAGGCCTCCCCTGGTTGCTGCTGACTCATGAGCCTTCCTGAGTTCTTCCTGTGGCTTCTCCCCCAGGTGTCTGTTCTCGGCAGGAATGGTCTCCAGCTCAAAGGAAAGATGGAGTATCTGCACCCCGCGAAGTGCCCGCCTCAGCCTGTGCTCCCCCTGCCTACACCAGATCCCTACACTCTGTGTGGCCAGTTGTCCGTGGGCCTCAGTGAGGAAGCCAGCCTGGGACTTCCAGCAGAGGGCAGGCTCACAGGCACCGTTCTCCGGCCCATTGCTTTGTATCCCCTTCTGGAGAATTCCAGATGATTGGTCAGACCTGCGTGCAGTGACTGTTCCCCGTGCTGCAAGCAGCTTTCCCGGGATGGGTGGGAAAGAGGGAGGAAGGGGCTCCCCGGTGTGGGACCTCCAAGCTCGGCAGGGACATGGAGGCACAGCGACGGACAAGGCACCCATGTGGGCCATCGGTTGCAGCCTTGCCCTACACCCCCCGCGAGTCTCTGGGCTGGTACTTCCAGGCCCGGGGTGCCTCCTAGCTGCCTGGGCAGGCCAGCCAAGCCCACAGTGCGTCTCTTGCCTTCAGCCTGTCTGACCCCTGAATGGGACAAGAGTGCCCCATCTCAGGGGTGGGGCAGCTCCCATCCTTCCTGTTGCCCTCCCAGCACCCTCAGGCCTCCCTCTTTGCTGTGTTTGAAGAGCCCGCGACTGTCGCCTTATAAATGTCCCGTCTCCGCTTGGCCTCAGCTGGCTTGGTGCTGGGCGGGAGGAGCGACATGATTCTGGCTTTCGAGACCGGGGCTTCATTACCTCTCCACGTGGTCCACGTTGCCTGCCACGCCCAGTCCCCCGAGGGTGTAAATCTTGCCGTCGTAGACGAGGCTATTGTGCCGACAGCGGGGGACCGTCATTCTGGAGACAAGGTTCCAGTTATCGAGCAGGGACATGTAGCACCAGACATCGGCCAGCGTCACCCCCGATTCCATGCCACCTGGAGGCAGTACGGGAGGTCCAGAGAGCAGGCGGGGCGTGAGGAGGGGCCCAAGGCCGGGCTGGCCCAGCCCCAGGGGCAGGAAGAGAAGCCCCTGGGAAGTCTGTGCCCGGCGCCCAGCCCAGCCCCGAGGGGCCTCACCTGAGAGGTAGATGTTGTCCCCGGCACTCACTACGCTGAAGAACTCTCGGTCATAGAAAGGCAGCGAGGCCAGGGGGTACCACTTGTTGTTCTGCGGGTTCCAGCAGGTGACGGCCACCAGGGAGCGCTGGGTCATCCCCACCATCTGACGGCCCCCAACCAGGACGATGACCTCCGCCACACCTGCAGGGACACAGATGCCCAGCCTTCGGACACATCCCAACACTGTCAGCCTCCGCACCTGGCGCCTCCCGTGGAGGAGCGGGGTGGGGACCACCCAGAGTCGGGCTGACCCCACGGCACCCGCAGTTGGGGAGCTCGGGGCCTGTCCCTCAATACCTGCTGAGAGGCGGGGCCGGGTTCGGGGCGTCTGCATCTCCTGGCGGGCGTGGGGCAGCATGTGGTAGCGCTTGGCTTCGTTGACCAGGTCCCGACATGCTTCTGACGACTTGATCAGTTCCTCGTTGTCCACCACGTTGAGTAGATAGCTGGGGTGGATGAAGGGGAGGCGGACCACGGCCAGGAGCTCCGCTGCGTACTGCAGGGTCAGGGAGACACAGAGTAGATGAGATTATGCAGATGGAGCCCCCTCTGGCGAGTCGTCCTGGGAAGACAGGAAGGGCCGGTGTGGTACTGCACGACCCCGGTAACTCCAGTCCGCGTTTGGCTTGAGAGTGTAGACACGGCTCACTCCGGCCTAGACAGTGATGGGGGGGCGCCCATCAGCCAGAGGACAGCAATGGGGGGGGGTTGGGTGTGCTGCAGCTGACCCTGGGGCGAACCATCCATCTGCTTCTTCGGCACCTCATTCCTGCCTCCTCCCAGGTCCCCGGCCTTGGCTTCACCCCAGGCTGCGGGGGAACTGAAGTGAGGATCCTGAGCCCTGAAGAGGTGTACATGGGGCAGGGAGTCAAGAACAGGTGGGAGGGCCCAGGAAGGCTGAGAGTGACCATGAGACCTGCAAGTCACACCCGTCAGAGTCTGAGTCTCCCCAATGCCTACAAACCCCTTAAGGGGCATCCCACGGCCTCAGATTGGCACCCGGACCCTCTCACCTGCACTGAAGGCTTTGCACGAACTGACTCGAATCCCCTCCTGCCTGGCAAACTCTGCTCACCACTTGGCTTTAGTTTTTTTTTTTTTTTAAGATTTTATTTATTTGACAGAGAGAGACACAGCGAGAGAGGGAACACAAGCAGGGGGGAGTGGGAGAGGGAGAAGCAGGCTTCCCGCTGAGCAGGGAGCCCGATGCGGGGCTCGATCCCAGGACCCTGGGATCATGACCTGAGCCGAAGGCAGACACTTAACGACTGAGCCACCCAGGTGCCCCTACTTGGCTTTAGTTTCATGCAACAAATGATTGGTGACACCCTTACTGTGGGAGTGTCAGTAAGACCAGTAAGCCCCAGTCTCTGAGCTTTGGGTGCGCGCAGTACCACGGCAGGTTGGGGGAGGATCCATTCGTAGAAGGCGCTAGTGGGGCCCCGAGGAGCAGTCTGGTTAGGAGTTGTGGGTGTGCAGGGTAGGAGGCTTCCCAGAGCGGACGCTGGCTGAGCTGGGTGCGCAAGGGCTGTAGGCTTCTCCAGGCCTCAGGTGGAGAGGAGGTAGGACGCCCGAAGCACACGCAGAGACATGGGAGCATGAAGGAGAAAGGTGCATCTGGGGAATTCTATGGAGCTGATTCTTGTTGGTGGAGGGGGTGGGGGGCGTGGTAAGCGGACAGGGGAAGTGACACCGGAGAGGTGAAGGAGACCAGAGCCTGACCGCCCCTTTGCCTTGCCTGCCAGGGCTGGTGGGCTTTTTCCCACAGGGTGCGTGACGGAGCTCCCAGGGGGCTTTGGACAAGGACATTACACCATCAAATGTGTTCTTTAGGAAGACTGCTCGCTCGGACTGCGGGGTGGGACTGAATTGGGGATGGAGAAGACAGAAGGCAGGGCAGCCGCTCGGGAGACCCCCTCAGCAATGCCGGTGCAGTGAGGGGCCTGACTGGGGAGAGGAAGTCGGCAAGTGACGGTGGCCTGTGGCCCGACGCACACAGGAGGGATGGGAGGAATCCAGGCTTCTGTTGTGTGTAATGCGCAGAACTGAAGGAAGGGACACAAGCCGTGTCGCTTTGGGGGTGGATGAATCAGAGGGGCTGGGGGATGCTGGCCACAGGTGTGCCGTAGACGATCAAAGACAGAGGGCTGGGCTGGAGACACAGAGGTGGGGCTGTCCAAGCTGACTGGCTGCCTTCCTCCACAAATGAACCTTGCCTCCTCCCCACCTGATCAGAGGACCCTCTCCTCTTGGGCTCAGTGGCCCGGCCAGGGTGGACAGCCAGCCCCCCGCTGCTGATCCCAGCGCCTGGCCCATCCTCCCTCCCTTGTGCCACTTCTTGCTCCCCACACAACGAAGTTCCCTTGCCATTTGCCGCTCGACTGCCTCAGGGTGTTCTGGGCCCTGGCCTCCCTGACTCTGGCCTCCCCTTTGTGGCTCTCCAGGTGGACTCTGAGCTCCCCTGAGAGCTACCTGTGTCTGCACTAACTCCTGGGGGCCCCTCACACGTTAGAATCAAGGCGGTTCCATTCTGAGCGAGGCCTTCAGCTGGGGTGTGACTGATTTCTGGTGACTCGGATGCCCCTCCTGGGGACCCTGCCCTCCTTTCCTTCTGCCCTGGATTCTGGCTCCAATTCCCCCAGCTGTCCCCTCTGAGGGACCTGCCTTCCCTCCCGTGATGTGTACAGTGGCTTCCCATCTCCAGCACGGTTTCCATTTGGCCCAGGTGCTCCCCACCCTCTCAATAAGCAGAGCCCTGGTGGGGCTGCTCCTGCCGGGTCTGAGCTCACGGGAGCCCCAGGGCACCCGCTTCTCCCTGCAGGCCCTGCGGCCTCTGGCTGGCCCGAGTCTCCTTCAGGTGGAAGGCCAGCCCTGGGAACCCTCTGGTGACTGGCTTCTCACCTCTCCTCCCTCCCTGCACCTCTCTGCGGCCCACAGGAGCCGTTCTGGCCTTCCTCTGCCCAGGCCTACTGGCTCCTACATGCTCCCACTGATGGTCAGAGCAGGCCATCCTGCCACCTCCACCTCCCTTCAGCCCTGCTCCAGATGCCATCCCTGCACGGGGGCCCCAGACCCAGGGGGAAGTGGCGGGCGGGGTGGGGGGCTACCTGTGCACGGGCCACGGGGTCCTTCTTGATCCACTTGATGACAGTCTCATATACGAGCTCCTCGGCCTTGGTGTTGAGGCTGTCATTGGAAATGTAGGCGATGAAGTCATCCTTGGAGATGCTGAGGATCTCCTCCTGGGCTGCCACCTCAGGGAAGATCTGCAGCGCGAAGGCCTTGGCCATGTGGTAGAGCTCGCTGCACTGCATGGCCTCAGCCATGGCCAGTACCCCCAGGCAGTTGCTGGCCGTCAGCTGCTTCTCTGGAGGCAAGAGCACAGGACCACTGACCACAGGGCCCTGGAAGTGTGGCCCTCTGTTCCTATCGCCTGACACTCTGGATCCCTCTCTGAGGCCATGTCCTTGTGACCTGCCTTCAGCCTCCGGGTTCCCACAAGACCGTTTCCGGTGTCCCTGGAACTGTGGATCCACCCTCGGGGTTTTCCTCCGCCCCGTCTCACACTGCCTCCCCCAGGGCCTCCCTCTGCTCCTGCAGGTCCTGGCAGAAAGATGGAGAGTGTGAGGTATGGAGCGTCAGTGCGGGGCTTGGAGCTTCCTCGTGGCTGTGGGCCTCAGAGCTTGGGCCTGGGCTGGGGGCGAGGGTCACGCGGAGACTGACCATGTCTTCTCTGTGACAGGCTCCCACTTTAGGGTCGCACCAGCAGTAGCACCCCTCATATGCCCACCCGCCACCTCCCACGGGCCTCAGCCTCACCCAACCTGGCCTCAAGGCCTGACAACAGTCTTGCCAGCTCTGCTGAGGCCTGGCTAATGGTTATTCTAGCCTGGACGTGCCCAGGTCTGTGCCGGTGCCTACAGTTATCCGAAGTTTCCTCTTCAAACTGCCTTGTGAGATCCAGCGGCACCCTGAGGCGTACACATAGCCTTTCCCCCTCTAGATCCTGGCTATTTTCAAACTCTGGGGCCCATCAGGGCTGTTCCCCTCATGCGGCGACCCACGCGCCCCCGCCCCGGACTCACCGAGAAAGGACACACAGACTTTGCAGAAGGTGTGGAACTGGAACTTGCTGGCCGCCTCCAGCAGCGTCTTGGCGTTGGCTGAGTCGATGACCAGTGAGCCCGTGTAGACGAACTCCAGCAGCAGCTCGAGGACGTCGGCCTGCAGGTTGGACAGGACGAGCTCCAGCTTCTCCCGGCCGCACTGGCTGCCATCTTGCACCGACCTAGGCACAGAGACCAGGGTGTCCCTTACCTGCCCGGCTGCGGCCACGGCGCCGCCTCCTCACAGGGCTAGATCTCCCTGCACGCCTCGGTCACGCCCTTCATTTTAGGACTCAAGGGACACAGCAATGACACACCTGAACCTAACGACCTGACACAGGATCTGAAAGAGAAGAGTCTGACCAGAGACGCCCAAAAGAACAGAAAACCCTGCTTATCACTACTTGGCATGTCCATGCAAAAAAAGATGCAAATCAAAAAGCATGAGCTGTGGATGGGGACGAGGACCAGGACTGGCCTCAAAGGGAAACAATACGGTTCCGCCCTGCGGTTGGCTCCCGCGTCTCGGCCACACGCGGCCAGCAGGTCCCGGCCCGGGGAGGGGGGCCCCCTGCCCCCGGCTGCCTCCACGGTGGGGGGAGCCGCCTGTGTGACTGAGGCTCCCACCCGGCTGTGAACACAGCCAATCCGGAGACGCCCCTCGATCGCCCCAAGCTGTCCCGGAACCCTGAGTCCAACCCCACCTACTTCCCAAAACATATTGTTTCCTTTTAGGCATGGAAAGGAAGCCCTTCATGACATTGCTTTGAAACTGAGGACGAGACGAGATAGACGGACAGAATGGTTAGAGCTGGGGGGAGGGGAAGGGGACAACCGAGGACTTCCGCCACAGATAGCCAGCAGCCATGACCTGGGACCTGGCCCGGGGCGGGGCCCTCCTGCCACATGGAGCACGGGGTCAGAGGTCAGAGTGGCCTGCGTGTAGAGTGTGCATCGGGCTTGTGAACTGGGGGAGCAGGGGAGGGACACAAATATATAAATATGTTCGTATCTGGTGTCTACAGAAATTCGAAACCATTGCAAAGGCTCCTAAGGCCTGGCAGCCGCGCCCTAAAGCTGGACCTGGAAGGAAACAGATAAGATGAAGCAAGAATCACACCAATACAGAAGTGACCAGGAGGAAAGACACCCAGAGCGTTAAGAGTCAGGAGGCAGGTTTTTCAGAGGTGATTGGCTTGGCAACCCATCTCCACCACTCTGACCAGTCCTGCATGGAGCCTGCTCCTGCCCGAGGCTGGGCAATGACCTCTGCCAACTCTCCACTCCTGAGGAGGCCAGGGGGCAAGACTGGTGACTTGTGGCTGGTCCCTCGGGCGCTCCTGTGGCTGGCACTGGGGGTGTGGAGGTGTCCAGCAGCTACAGCCCCCAAGAGAGGCTGACTCCTGTGCGGGTAGGGAGCTAGAGGACCTGCGTGCCCCAGCCCTGCCACCGACAGGCGGGCCACCTTGCCTCTTGGGCCCTCAGTCTCCTCTTCTGCAAAACAAGAGGATTGAACTGCATGAAGTCTAAAGTCCCGTGGAGAGTTTATGTGATAGAGGCTGGAAAACGTGCTCGCTTCGGCAGCACATATCCTAAAATTGGAGGCTGGAAAACACCTTGCCCAGGAGACTGCTCTACCCAGCAGAACCTGAAATGCTCCCACGAGAGCAACGTTCTCCACAATCTGGCCACCAAGGGCTTTTAAAGCACCAATATGATGGGGCCAGGGAATAGAGGAAGCTGTGACTTCATTCAGGGCTCCCCTCCCCACAGAATGGCTCATGTCACCGGGGCCCGCAGGGGCCCTGCCTCCAGGCTTGGAGGGAAAGCGGAGCTGGAACTGTGCTGGCTAAGCCGAGGGTCTGAGCAGAGCCCCTTCTCAAACCCATAGACATACACGGTGTGTGTGACTTTTCAAGTGACTTAACACACCGAGTCCTCTGCTGTCGGGATAGATTTTCATGCCTGGATAACTTTGTTAAGTATAAAAATAGTTCATTATGTGATCACTTGAAAGCACAGAAATCTAACAGCCCAGGCCTCAGGGGCCATCTGGTCCACCTCTTCCTCGGGCTTTGCCGTCTCTGCCTTCATTCCTACATGCTGCTGCCTAGCCTTTCCTCCTGCCCTTCGTGCTCTGCGGAGGTCCCGCTAGGCCACGGCCAGGGCAGGGCCTGTGGGCCAAAGTCAGGCTGCTCACATTCTCCCAAGGCCCCCCCAGCCACTGCTGCCTCCACTTCGGGCTGGCCCTCCTGTCCACCTACGTTTCTTCAGCAGAGATCATCCTGCTCAGTGAAGGGCTGGGGTGGACTTGAGCTGCGCACACACACACACACACACACACACACACACACACACACACACTGGAGTGCATGTGACACATGACCCTGAGGACCCCCAGTATCATCACCCTGTGGGGAGGGGTGTTGGGCAGATGGAAGGCCAGGGGAGCCCACGGCCCTGAGTGTGGGGTCGGATGGGATGTGTGTGGCTGTTCTTGTGGGAGATGCTTGTCCTGCCCAGAGTCTGAGCCAGGGAGAGGGTCCTGGGGACAGGGTGGTGACTGCATGGCCAAGGAGGCACATGGGGTGTCGACCATCACAAGTGCTGTCCAGGGTTGGCGAGGACCACTCTCCCTATGATGCACAGCTATCTCTGCTTGTTCAGGACCCTGTGAGAAGATCCCATGGAAAGCTGGGGGCTGCTGGGTCAAGGGCATTCAGGGAGTGGGTGGAGGCCCCTGGGGCCAGATGCTGCGCTGTGGGCACAATGACCATTCCCCTTGGTTATGGAGGAATACTTGGGAACGTGATGGAGGCTTTGCTGGGTGGCTGAGTTAAAGATCCGTAGGAGGTGAGGCCCCAGGCTGTGAGGCCTTGTATAGCTCATCTGCACATATGTGTTCATTGTCCACACAGCTTTGGGGCCGAGGGAGGCTGGTGGTAACTCTCCATCACTGACCATCAGACGGTCTTGGGACTGGACCTCAGTGATCCTTAGGTCTCTTCCCTATGAGCAGGGATCCCCTGGGAGGCACTGTCCATGATGGGTGGCCCTGGTCACCGATGGGGAGCTGTGTCTTCCACAGATGACTTTTCGGTCCCTGTCCTAAGCTGGCTCTTGGGGTCCAAGCATCCTGTTCCACTTAGCAGCATGGAGCACTGGGAGCTGCTGGGCAGTCTGGGTCCTGACATGATCTCGGAGGGGGGTGAAGCAGGGCAGGAATGGGCAGTGGTAGCCTTGTCAGGTTGGGCCATGAATCTAACACTGGGGATGGGCGTGTGGGGCAGGCCGGTGCTGCCCAGCCCACACAGGACCTGTGGGTTCTGTTAGAAGACCCAAACTGCCTAGGCTCATCTTCTCACAGGGTATGGGACACAGCATTTGCTTGACAGGCCTGGGTCTGTGGATGTGCCAGGAATGCCTCATCCCCAATATTAGATCACGTGAGATGCCACCATCAGCAATTTGCTCACCTGGATCAGAATTGCCCTCTCCAGACTTTAGTCCCTCATCTGCCCCTCACACACCTCAGTAATCAGATGCTTGCATTTTGCAAGTTCGGTCTGGAATAATGGTGGGGGAACCATGGAGCAGTAGTGGGTGGGGGGGGCAGTCATGGAGTGGGTGGTGAATATGGATGGCATCCTGACCTGTTCAGGAGGATGACCCCACTCTTCCGATGTGATTCCCACCCCACTGCATGCCTAGGAGCTCAGGCTTCAGGGCTCAAACATGGCACGCGTGAGCCTCACAGGGTCCCAAGGACTTTCACAGCTCAGGCGGGCCCTGGCCCATCTGTGGTGATTTGGCCATGGATCTGACTCACGTTGTTCTGCTGGCCTTCAAGATGGGTGAGTCTCTCCTTTTATTATCTGGTCTTCCAGCCACACCTGTCTCTTCTACCAGGAAAGGGGGACGGTCAGACTGCCACCCACAAATGCCCAGCTTCACAGGGAAGGAGGGGAAAGGTGGTGTTTGGCTTGCCTATTATCTGTTGGGCAACCCTACATCCAGGATCTGTGCCACTCAATTAGGTAGATCCCTTTGGCTTCCCCCAAAAGAATGATGGAAAAACCCAGAGCCTACACATGGGGCTTGTGAAAATCAACTTGGACAAATCAATATGTCCATCTATTTTACTATACTATACTATACTATACTATACTATTTACTATAAAAAGTGAATAGAGTTCAAATGTGTCATTGGCTCCAAAAGACTTGGTGGGATGGGGCTTTTGGCTGGAAGGTAGAATGCCAGGTCTCTGGCCCATTTGGTGTGATGAGGGGGCAGCTCTCCTCTGGGGCGTGACATTTTCTCCCACACCCTGGCCCACACCCAGGCTTGGGGGCCATGTTCAGAAGTTCGGGCAGGGAGGGCAGTACCTCTGCTCTATCTGAAGGACGACCCCTGTCCTCTCTGATGGGACCTGTAGGCTGCCCGGCCAGAGAGGGTAGCCAATGCCTCCCATGGCACCAACCATCCCTGAGGGCTCTCGGCTCCTGGGGATAAGTGAAGGAACCTCCTCATGGCCTCCCAAAAGTCCAGGGCAACCCAGGTCCTGCTCAGCAGGGTTGAGAAGTGACTCTGGACTTTGGAGGCTATAACCCCCAAATGCCACTAGCTCTAGTCTGCTCAAAATGTCCTTCCTCCTTCCTGAAGCCCAGGGCTCAGCCCACTGAATCGTGCTGGGGTCCCCCTCCAGCCTGGAGGCAGGTGGGGTGCAGTGATGGTGCGGCACTATCCCTCGCACCATCCGAAGACAAAGCCACAGCTTCTCTCCCTGCTGCGCTTTCAGCCCTGATTGTCACGGGGACTCAGATGGGGCGACAAAGGGGAGGTGAGGAAGCCCGGGGGTCTCAATACGGCTCTGCCTTTCCCGATGGCCTCCTGGAGCCTCCTCCGTGCTCCTCACTCCAGGGACACAGCCTGTTCCTGGGTAAGGGGGCAAGTGGCCTCAGCCTAGGTACCTGTTTCACGTGGGACTTGTGTCTCCTCTTGGGCAGATCCAGTGGCCAGTTTACGAGTGTTTCCAACAGATACACAAGGGCGCATGTGCACACACACTCAAACTCTGCATCCTTTTTCCTTGTCTCTCTGTCCACACTGTCAACCCCGAGTTTCACTTTCTTTCCGTCTAGACTTCATGCACAAATAAAGACTACCTTTTTGTTCTTCTCTGGGTTAGCAAATGGATGGTAAGAGCACGAGCTTAGGAGTCAGACCTCAATTCCCATCCCAGACGTACTGGTTACTTAAAACCCTCTGGGCCTCAATTTCTTCATCTGTAAAGTGGGGATACTAATGCTACCTGCTTTTCAGGGTTAGTGGGAGGATTTTCAGGATGACATTAGACATTTCTACAATGTGGGCTGGGTCTTGACCCCATCAGTGGAAAAAGAAGAGTTTGAAACGAAATAAGGGAAGGCTATGGAGAGAAGCTGTTGCAGCCACACCAAAGGTACATACACATGTGAGGGCAGAGTGTGTGGACAGAGTGGGGGTCGGCCTGGGGCCTGGCGAACGGGCGCTGCGGGCAGGACATCTGCCTGGCCCCGGGGCTCACGGGCAGCTGAGCTGGTCAGGAGAGGACGCCAGGAGACCGGGCTCTCCCGCTCACTGCCTGTTGTCCTTATGAAACACACATCTGACCACGGCACCTCCGGGCTGAAAGCAAAGGCCCGCGGGCCGGCTCTGGCCTCCTGCGCTGGCCTCCTTCCCTGCATCGCCACCTTGCACCTGGCCCCCCAGTGATGCTGAATCACGTGCTGGGCCTTGACACCCCTGCTGTCCCTGACCGCCCCTCTTCCCACAGTTGGGCGTTCTGCCTGGGGGCCTCTAAACCCCATTTCTGTGCTCAGTTTGCTCTCCTGCTCCTACTTCTTTACTGTTCCCCTCATCAGGCTGTGGCCTTCCTCAGGGCAGAGACCTGTCTCGTCCAGGGTTTCCTATGGGAGGGGCTCCTGCTTGTGTGCTGGGCTAAAAGGGCCGAATGACTTTGATTGCCCCATGTCTGTCCTGTGGTGCCAGGTGAGGGTGTCCACACCGGGGGTGTGGCGGGGGGCTGCAGTGGTGACCACGTGGCCAGCCCCAGGCTGCAGGTGGGCAGGAGCCCCGCCTGAGCCCCCAGGTCTGCGGGTTGGGGGACGGCAGTGGGTCATCTGCCCTGACAGTGCTCACAGAGGCCCCCAGGAAAGGAAGGACCAGGGCACAGACTGTCCCTCCTCCCTCTGGTTCTTTAGTGCAGCTGCCAGAGAGTGAAGCCTCTGCTGCAGGTTCAGTTCTCCTGCTGGGCCATCCTGGCCGCTGCACACTGTCGCCGGGGTCGCAGCCCGAAATGACAGGGCAACCACATCAGCTGCTCCCTGACCACCGAGATTGTGAACTTCTCCAGGATTTTACACGGCCCAGAAAGGAAATCACCTTTCTGCAGAGTCTGCCTTCCTCCCCACAGAAGGAATTTGTTTGCAGCAATGGGCAAGGTTAAGATGAGGGAAATGGTGATGGACGCCAAGGTTAAGATGAGGGAAGTAGGGGCGCCTGGGTGGCTCAGTCGTTAAGCGTCTGCCTTCGGCTCAGGTCATGATCCCGGGGTCCTGGGATCGAGCCCCGCATCGGGCTCCCTGCTCAGCGGGAGGCCTGCTTCTCCCTCTCCCGCTCCCCCTGCTTGTGTTCCCTCTCTCGCTGTGTCTCTCTCTGTCAAATAAATAAATAAAATCTTAAAAAAAAAAAAAAAGACGAGGGAAGTAAAATTTAAAACGGCCACAAATTAACATTGTGACCTTCGCCCACAGGGGCGCCTCTGGGCTCGGCTTCGGCCTTCCCTCCTCCCTGAGTGAGCCTCCTGTACGCTGAAGGGGTCTCCCCAGACCTCAGACCTCTCTGCGTTCAGATCTTTCATCTATCTGGCTGCCTCGCAGGCATCTCTGCTGGGGCATCCTTCAGCCACGCTGAAACCTGCTGTGCCAGACGCTCAATTCACCCCTGTGCCCCCGGCTCTGCCCTGACTCTGGTCCCCGGACCCGCCTCCCACCCTGTGACCTCACTCTTCTCATGTCCTGGGGCTTGCACATGGGAAGCCTCTGTAGGGCTGGCTGTGCCCGTCCCCTTACCGCCACCCTGGGATGCTGGAGCTGAAGGAAACCTGGATGTCGTTTGAACCAACCTCCTGTTTTACAGATGAGAAAACTTGAGGCCTACGAGAGAGGACGTGACTTGCTCGGGGTCATAGGACAAGTGGCAGAGTCAGGTGTAGAACCCAGGTCTCTTAGCTCCCAGGGGGGTGCCCTCTCCCTTCTAGGGACTGCCTCTTAGCTCCAGCGCCCATCACTTCTGGCTAGGGCCCCTGAGGCACATCCTGCAGGTCTTTCACCTTCAGGGGGACATCCCTTTCCCACTGCTCCTCACGGCCCCCACATCCTCAGACCAAGCCCAGGGCCCTAGCCCAGGGGTTGGACTTGCCCGCCCATCTCACCCCAGCTCACACCCATCTCTGGGAAGGCTATCTTCCCCTCCACACTGCTTAGGACGGCCTCTTTCCCAGCTTTTCATTCCAGGCAATCCATGCCTTGTCTGGAGCATTCTAGAACATTCCAGAACATTCCTTGTCTTCTAGAACATTCCGGGCAACCCACCCCTTGCCCGGAATGTTCTTCCTCCTTCTTTCTGGGCCTAAGAAGCCTTCACTACTTTGGGTTCCCACCAACTGGTGTCCTCTGTTGTGTATGAGAGTTTGGCTTTACGTGTGAGGTTCTAAAGACACTTAAACGGCTCCTGTGCTCCTCTTGCCCACATCTCTCTAGCTGAGGGCTGGGCCATCACTTAGTACCAACCTGCCCCTGCATCCTGCCCGCTCTGTGCTCTCCAGCTGGTCTGTAGCAGGGACCAAAGCCCTAGGATGCCGGTCACTGCCAGTACCAGAATTTGCCAAGAGTGGCAGCACAAAGACCTCCCTTGGCCTGAAGAAGCCACTGGACGTGCCCCTTTACCCTAGAGCTCATGCCCCTGACCCCTGTGCTCGGACAGAGAGAACCCAAGCACTGGGGGCGGGAGCCCCAAGCTGTCCATGAGACTGGAAGTCACAAAGAGCCTGCCCCTTCCTGCATGGCTGGGGCCAGCGCGGCTGGGTGGGGCTTGCACGCCGGGCAGCTCAGCTCTAAGTGAAAGGACACAACAGATTGGAAAGGAGATGCCAGCCAGTGTGCCATCCTGAAACAAAACACAGTCACTCTGGGGTTAGTTGGCAAGTCCAAACACAGCATTGGGAAGCAAGCAGAGGTCCTGTCCTCCCACTCTGAGCCCAGTCCCGGCTCAGCGTCCGCCCCGGAGAGGCTGCAAGGCAAAATGAGCAGCGGCATTAATCTGCTGATGGGTGAGAGAAACAGGAGCGTTACCCTGGGCCGGCCCCCTCGGCTGCTCTCCCTCGCTAAGGAGCTAGAAGGTGGCCCCTGACTTCTTTGCGAGGGTACGAAGCAGACAAATTAAAAAAAATCAACATAATGGAAAAAAAAAAGATGCTCATGCACCATTAAAACTCATTCAGGTAGAAATAGCCGGGGCGGAGGGCGGAGGGGGGGGGAGGAGCAAAGGCTGAGAGAGACCGTGTTTAGGACACACCTGGTCTGTGCTCAGACAACGCCGGCTTAGGCTCAGTGCACAAGTATCAAGGCGTGCAGCGTGAATGAGGATTTGGCTACAAGTCTCTTCTCCCCGACTCCAGCTGTGGAAAAGCGGCACCGTGGGCACCTTGTGCTCCTCAGCTGGGGGACAGTCTGGTCGATGTGCTTTCCTGGCATTAAGGTCACTATCGACAGCAGTGATGACGGTGCCTGGGACCCTGTGCTGAACCAGTGGGGACAGTGTGCAGGGGTCCCTCAAAGTGGAGTCCACAGCCCTCCTAATCTCACGGAGGGCTTGTGAGCCACTGAGAACTCGGGATCGTCGGGGCAGGGCAGGGGTGTTGTCTACGGCTGGCAGAGGCCCTTGGTGACCAGCAAAGCTGCATGGGGGCGGGCTGGGGGCCGTGGCTGCTCTGAGGCTGTGTGTGAAAGGGTACTCGGGGGTGGGGGGGGGAGGAGAGATGGCTACTGGCTCTGTGACAGGGAGTCACGCTTCAGGAACCTGCAAGAGAGGGGAGGAGAAAAGCGACACAAAAGCGTCCTACAAAGGAACAGACCCGACCACAGCTGGAAGGAAGGCAAACCTTTGAATCAGGTCCTTGAAATACAAGCTGCAGGAAGCTAGAACATTTTGGTGGACTTCAAACTCTCTGCCTTCAACAACAATTTTCAGGTCTGTAAACGCTTTCGCTCTGCGCTGCTGGTTCAATTCCTTCAACATTTCTGCAGAACAGAGAAGACAGACAGGGCCAGGTTCCCATTAAGAGTTTTTTTTTTTTAATTAAAATTTTTTCTTTTCAAGAAGTAGAGAAATAGGAAAATACTTGATACTGTTTCTTGGCAAGACTGGCTCAACACTGACAGTCAAAAGAAGTCACAAACAATGCGTAAACAAGCAGCAACTGGGAGGGGCTGCAGAACCAAAGGAATAACAACTTTCAAAAGCAAAAAAACAACAACAACAACAACAAAAAAAACCCCACAAAAAACAAAAAAACAAAAAACCAAAGAAACAAACAAAAAATCCCCAAACCAAAACAATACAATACAAAAAAAAAAAATATATATATATATATATATCTCAAACCCAGAAATTGAGAGGCTGGGGGAAAAGACTCCCATACTGACAATTGGAAACATAGAGAATACATTATCACAGACAACTAAAAACTGTCGTATAACTACAGAGCGAGTTCTCCAAGTGCCAATGAGGGCTGATGTATTGGATACCAAGTAAAGCATGGCATTGTGATGTAAGATGGGCTGGATATGGTTCAAAGGAATAAAAACCACAAAACCTGCAAAAACAGCGTCCCTTATGTTAGACACTCAAGCCGTGGCACAGGGTGAGCTTCTTAGAGAGGGGCCCCAAGGGAGGAGGGGGTGCAACGGGGGCCTGCAGAGCACTTCCATTGCACACTTCCGGGACTGTCAGGGAGGGCTGCCAGGAAGTGGGGGGCTGGGCGCACCTCCTCCCATTTCCTTGGGTATTCTCTCCGGACTCCCGCCCTCAGCTGGGGCTTTGCCATGGGAGAGGTGCCCCCCAAGTGGCCTCTGGGGTTTTCCAACCCTGACGCACACCTACCTTTGCCCGGTGTCTTGGCCACCTGGGGCCGGCACAGAGAGTGTCCCATGCCCGTGGGCTCCAAACCTGGGTTGTCTCCTAGACCCACCTCAGGGCTCAGAATGGGGAAGGAAGAGAGCCTGACAGCTACCCTGGTTCGCTGACAGAAACTCTCATTTGCGAAAGTTAGGGCCTTCTGATGACCAATGCTCCCACTAGCTTTGCCTTGTCTGCCTGTCCCCAGTGGACTCCCTACTTGCTGGTTGCTGGACATCAGAGGCCCAGATTCTTGGCCAGAATGACCTAGACTATTGTTAGGCAGGGTTACGTTCTTTAGCAGGTGAATGGGAGGGGGGCCTGCAGAACTGAGCCCTGCTTCCAAGCCCCCCACCATCACCCTGAGCCCTCAGGTCTATGCTGCACCTGGGCTGGTGTTCTGGAATCACCCTCCAGCATGCCCTGCTTCAGCCAGACCTGTCGTCTCTGTCCACATGGGCCGACATTGGCTGCCTGTCAGGATTCCCTCCTGAGCCCAGCTCTGCCTCTGACACCCGTATGTCCTCGGACAAGCCCTTGTGCTCTCAGACTCTGTCTCTACATCTGCAAAATGAAGCTGGAGGCTCCTGCTCTATTCCCAAAGCCTGGTGAAAATCCCTGAGCTCAGGCTCAGGGACGGGCAGGGGCTTGTGGGCTTTGAGGCCAGGCAGGTCCATCTTTGCGAGGGCATACCGGGCTCTGGTTCTGCTGAAGACCAAGGCAGACAGGGAGAAAGGGGGTCTGAGTTGTGTGGGCAGAGCTGAATCATTGACCACACCACCAACTCCACATAAGGCTGAGCTGGAGTCGTGGCAGGGCACCTGCAGGGGTGTGTGTGGGGCACTGGCTGGGGCCTCCAGAAGGACGAGGGAGACCAGCAGGGCCTGAAGCACTAGGTGGAGGGTGTGGAGGGCGCCTGTGGGGCAGATAGGGAACAAAGCAACGAGATGGGGCAGCAGGTGGGTTCAGACCTGAAAAGCCTTGCAAGCGGGCTCCAGCTCAGTCTTCTGGGCACCAGGGAACCACGGGATTCTGTTCAGGGGAGTGACAGGCTTGGATCTGGTTGCCAGGACAAATCTCCCTAGCAGCCCCGTTAGAGGCAGGCCGGGGAGGAACGGTGGAGGCTGGAGGCTGGAGGCCAGGAGGGAGGTGGGGGAGCACTGGGCCTCAGAGCCAGGCCTGGGGGAGAACCTGAACTCTGCCTTCTATCAGCTGCGTGACATTGGGAAAGTGTCCCAGCAGCCTCGGTTTCTCCTTCGTTGAAGTTAAATGAGCTAGCCCATGGTAAACTGTTAGCTGTGGGCTTCAGTGGGTGGCAGGCATGATGTCGTTGTCGATGGCGGTGACGGCTCCATGATCTAAGTGAGAAGGGACAAAGGCCCGAGCGACAATGGGGATGGAGGACAGAGGAAGACAAGTATTTAGGCTGGGAAGTTGTGGCCCTCGGTGCTGGAGGGAAGGCGGAGGCCGGCAGGTGCAAGGACCACTTCCAGGCTTCTGGAGGGATGCCGGGAAGGGAGGGGGTGGTGAGTTCAGTTTGGGGTTGGGGTTCGGGCCAGTCGGATGTGTCAGGGGGGAAGTGCAGGAGGCCATGTCTGGGGCCTGGGCGGGAGGCGAGGCGGTAGGACCTGGAGCCTGAGCGCGTGGCTCGGGGGTGGGGGGGGTACGATGCCGTGGGGGAGCCCGCAGGGTCGGGCTGGGTTGAGGCTCAACTGCTTGCTACGCTCACACAGCAGCTCCAAGAAGAGCCACCAACTGAATTCGTTCCCCCAAACAGGAGCCAGGTGGTGATGTCAGCTTTTTGAGTGAAGTCACGTGGGGGTGAAAGAGTTCTGGGCTGGAATTCCAACGACCGGGATCCTGGCTCTCGTTGCAGCTTTGCCACTCATTGGCTCTGTGACCCTGGGCAAGCTGCCCAGCTTTAGGTGCTCAGTGCCTTCAAGGACCGAGAGGCACCTGCTCCGTTGCCTCCCCGCTGTCAGGCTGCAGTGAGGGACGGATGCAGCCCCGCAGGCTCGCTGAATTAACCAGGCCCAGGGGGCCAGGAGAACACAGCGGTTGCAAACTACCACTCCTCCTGGGCCCAAAGCACTCTGGTTTTGAAAGCTCGGACTTCCAACCAAGGTCCCAGCAAAGATTCCATTTGCAGCCCCAGCCCCGCAGCGCCGCCTGCTGTCTTGGGAATTCTGGCCGGATCCAGGGGCCGCTTGGAGGTCCAGGTCACCATCTAAATGCAAGCGCTTTCTACTCTCACTTTGCGGAAATCTGGATTTAATAGCTGGGCAGGATTACTCAGTTTCGGAAAAAAATTTTCAATTTATGAAAGTGCTCACCAGGGGATTCCTTTTCACAGCAGGGCCCCAAGCGCATTCCAAGTATTGATCAGGCGGTATGTGCTCATTGCTGCCGGCTGAGCGCCCAGCCGGAGAGAGCCTGGGTTTCGGGACAGCATGACCCTGGATCCACAGGAGGAAGCCAGCACCGGCTCCAGGTACAAGCTGCCCTCCTGCCTAGGCCCCTGCCTCGGCCAAGGACAACCACTTAATGTGTGAGGGGCTCGGGGAACGTGGGGTCCTGGGAAAGCTTTCCAACCAGCTGGGCTGTGCCCAGTTGGGGCAGTTTGCGGGCGTCGGGGAGGGGGCTGGCAGGGGCTGGGCCTTTGGGGTAGACCCCAGTAGCACCCCAGCACCCTGTGGAATCTGGCTGCTTCAGGCTTGTGGAGGAGGGGCAAGTCTGGACCTCAGGGTCCTTCCTTGCTGGCTGACATCAGGGAGCTGTTTTCTAGCCTCCCGGGTTTTGGGTGGGATGCCCCACCTGTGTCTGCAGGACCCCTCGCCCTTGCCTGGCCACACAGCGGCTGCACTTTGCCCTTGGCCTTGCCCCTCAGTGGGGAACCCTCTGCTGCCAGACTGCTGGGCTGAAAGCACAGGTCCAGGTCACCGAATCTCCCCCTTGAATCCTCTCCTCCCCACACCAAGCCCGCCTCTTTTACCGCCTAGAAATCTCTGCTGTCCATTTTCTCCTGGCCTCAGGAACACCTGGGTTCTGTCTGAGCCACCACCCTCTTTCTCCCGAGTCAGGGGCAGCAGGCTCTGAGGATGTCTGGCTGTTTCTGGCCCTAAGCCATCCAGCAACCCAGCAACCCCTCCCTGCTTAAATAAACCCATCAAGGACGATGAGCAGGGGAAGCAAGACTCCCCCACTCCCCCCTGAAGCCTCCCTGCGCCCCAGGCATGTCCCTTCTCCCTGCCCTCTGCTCCAATCTCTCTTCCTTCCTTCTGGCTAATTACCATTTTGTCCCGCAGTACCAGTTAAGGTGTTACTGTGTCCCAAGCCTCTGCCTCCTCCCCTTCCTCCTCCCACATCCCCTGGCTCTTCACCCTCCTCCCTGCTCCCACAGCATCCCCTGCTTATTTCTTTAGAGCACACTGTGCGTTGTAATTACTTATTTACGTGTATGTCTCCTGCACTTGACTGTGATTTATTTATATTTTTATCTTCAACATCTAGCACAGGGCCTGGCATATATACAGCTGGTGTGGTAGATGACAAAAATTCTTTGTCTCCCCTCCCATCAAGGGGTGCAGTTCATTTCCCCACCCTCTGAATCTTCACTGCCCTTGTGACTTGCTTTGACCATGGAATGTGGTTGGAAGGACATCGTGTGAGTGTGAGCCACAGCCTCAAGAAAATTTGCTTGCTTTTGCTCACTCTCTTGGGACCCCTGCCCCTACCACCCTATGAACAAACCTGAGTGAGTCTTTTGGAGGATAAGAGGCCACATGGAGCAAAGATGAGCCATGCACCTCAGCCAGCCCCCACCAATATCGGCTGAGCTTGACCTAGATCAGCTGAGTCCAGCCAAAAGTGCAGACCAGAATCACAAGCTAAATCAGAGGTGGTTGTCTTAAGCCACTAAATCTTAGAGTTGTTTGTTATGCAGCAAGAGGTAACTGATACAGAAAGCATGAATAAATGATAAGGCTCAAGGGCTCATGAAACTTCCCTTCCGTCAGGGTCTCCTTTATGGGTAGCGTTTGAAGCTAATTCTTTTTCTTTAATTTAATTGCAGTAAAATTTACCATCACAACTATTTTTAAGTGGACAGTTCAGTAGTGTTAAG